GAAGAAGCAGTTAGAAAACTTCATTTTTTTTAAGTATGTATAACTGTATTTTTTCGATAAAAAAAAATATTAATTCATAAATATAATTTTCTTTGAAAAACTGAAATTTAGTAAAATAATAAAAAATAAAAAAATTGGTGCAAATAATTTTTAATTTTTTTTTAAGATTTCGTATTGTTTTTACAAACATTTTTTACTTGAGTTTTGTGCCTAAGTTCATTCGGTGCATTTAAAAAAAATTATAATATTTTAATTTATTTTTCATAAATATTTTTTTTAATTACCATGCTCTGAAGACCCTTTATCTATCATTGAACTCAAATTTTATATAAGCATACGTATTTTTAGCACTGTTATGGTGGTTATAGTTAATACTTTAATTATTATGCTCCTTGTTGTTGCAATAATTATAGCTGTATGGCATTTTATATATAATTTTTGCTTTGTTTCGTACTTTGGTTCCAGTAATTTGTAAGTGTTTTGAACTAAATCCAAAAATAGTTTTAAACATACATACATATGTACATACATGTATACAGGTATGTAYGCATATAGTACAACAAAAGCAAGTTGAATGCTATTTTTTGTTTACTGTAGATATTTGCGCTATTCCTTAGAGTATTTCCTATATATGCCAGTTTTCATTGTTACAGTTTGTGATAATATTTGTTGCTTTTTGAATTTCGAATATTTTTTGCATTTTGAATTTCGAATATTGTTGATTTTTCGAAAATTTTTCCTTTTGAATCTCGAATATTTTTGCATTTTAAATTTCGAATATTTTTGCATTTTGAATTTTGCCCAATTTTCTACTAATTTTTATTTTCACTTGCCAACCGCGCTCGCTCAGCCTACTGTGTTTGATAGGGTTGTTGATAATTTGGTTGCTGTGCTTGTTGTGGGTATGACAAATGTTGCGGGTACTGTGGATCATAGCTTGGCATTTGTGGTTGTTGTTGTTGCTGCGTRTAGTCATAAGCCCCATATGCGCTGGCATCAGCTGTCTGCTCGGGCATAGCGCTCTCCTCGGGTATAGTGCCACCCGACATGGCTGCGAAGGGATTATTGGCCACGTGACCGGTCGCACCATAATTGATGGCATTCGGTTGTTGCATTTGACTCTGTTCGGTGTATTGCGGTGTGACGCCCTATGAAAAGGAAATTTTTGTTAGAAGAGTTGAAAATAAATATAATTGCAATGCATTAAAAGGCAATTTCGTGTAAGGAAAAGGCTATAAGTGAGCTTCAATGGAGCTTTTGTTGTGGCAAATGAACTGTATACCCTTTTGACGCTTTCACTCTCTTCCCCTCGTTTTTATAGCATAAAAATTATGATTCGTAAAAGCATTTTATCTTTTATTTATAATGAYACGATTGCATGTCAATTTGTATCTGCTGCAATGAAATCATAACTCCATAAAGCATTTGCTTTCAAACTTACAAAGGAAGTCTCCTTGGTGTAACCGCCTTGGCTGGGATCTTCAGCAATAGCGCCCATTGGTGGCGCCCACACCTGTTTCTCTTCGTGTGGTGGCTCGGCCCAGGGTTGAAGTTCGCCGGAAGCGAAGATGCCATAGAAGGTACAGCCGATTAAATGAACGCATGCGGCAAGTGTGAAGACGGTGGTCCAACAGTCGTGGGGCTAAAGCAGAAAGCGGAGGATTTCAAAACAAAAATAAAATTAATTTTTGATTATAAATTCGGAAGTAAATGAAGTTCACAATATAATAATAAGAATATCGCGCCTGTTAAGTTAGTATACTTAAAGAGATCTGTTTATAAAAACACGGCTGAAAAGCTTTGACCGCTTTCGAGTCTTCTCTAATTGAAAAAACTTCCACAACTGTACACATAACGTCACTGTATGAGGTAGGACTGGATATATACATATTCCAATAGAAGAAAGCCAAGAGAGTCTCGTGGTTAKCCTACTGCGGAAGTGTTGATGGTTGCCATGAGTTCTCAAGCGAAGAATCCTACTCCAAAAGGGTATCTATGAAAAGCTGATATTAGATGATCTCTGAGCGGGGAGGTGTGAGGAGTCGTTGATGCTAATCCTGGATACTCACTTTCCGTTGAACCAAATCGGCTTAAGAAGTGCCACAGGGAAATTTCCGAGAGGGCTGTACAGCCTTCCTAAACATTCTGGCTGAACGCCACCTCAATTAGTCCCCAAATTTGTTCAGTCCCTTGGCACTGATGACAACTGCAGCGGATGATCAAAATGACATGGAACTGTCTAAACMCATCGGGGTRGTCTTATCTTCGGTGAGCCAGAAGACAAAGCCGAAATTGGCATTAGCGGCCTCAACAAATTTGTGACAGGCTCAAAGAAGTATTTAAGTACCACAAGAGACCAGTATACTCAGCTATCCAACTGAGATCTCTCTCTCACAATCGACCTCTTAACCTAACCGAACACAAAACGGATTTTAATTTGTGGTCAAGCCACACCGCTGGATAGATGATGGAGTCATTTGTAGAAGTTCAAGCAAATGAGGGAAGTTCTCTGATCGCATTCACTTGAGAGTGGCTAGAAACGATTATTTTACAATATGGCTCAAGCAGCTCACAACCTCCGATATTAGACCAAATATCCTCTGAGTAGCGAAAGAACACTGGTTTCAAGGCGAGACATCCCTACTCAGGGTTGTACGCTGGATTTGAGACCCGCCACGTAAAAAAAGTCCCCAATGAAAACAAATCGACAGCGTCGGATGAGAGACCTCCCTTTTGATGACGAACATGGCAAACGCATTACGGATTACGATGAACGCACCCATGAGAGCTGCCCTCGTCACGATGTCAAAATCGTGCTTGGCGACTTTGACGCCAAGGTGGGCAAAGAAGGTACCTTTGGCGCACGGTCGGAAAACTCAGCCTTCATGAGGAAACATCTCCAAATGTGTTTAGGCTCATTAACTTCTACGGGGTCTGAAATATGGTTATATGGTTGTATCCAACCTGATTCTATTTGTCTTATCGCCAATTTTTTCTTAACTTATCTACATTCTCGGAAAATCTTTTCTCTTCAAAGCTTCGCTACTTACATGTTTACGGATCAAGCCATCCAACGCGTAGGGCACAATTATGCCAGCCAAAGTACCGATACCGTTCGAGAGACCCATCAAAATACTGGCATAACGTGGAGCAATATCCAAATGATTTACATTATAGCCGGAAATGGCGAACCCACTGAAGGCAACACCGCAAGTTAGAGCAAACATGGCGCCGGTCTAAAATACAAGCATTTAATAGCACATATTTAATTTGTCAAACTAGAATTGCATAAAACCGCTGCTAATCATACTCACAGCCGTATCGGAGTGCGCGACGAAGAGAAAGAACAAACCCTCCATGCCGAAACCGCCACAGTTGAACAGTTTGCGCACATTCGTGGTTGACATAATGCCATTCTTACGCAGATGATCAGCCAACATGCCACCGAATGGCACAATCGTGGTCATAATTAAATGTGGCAGCGAACCGATGAAACCGGCCTCCTCCACCTTAAAACCGAACTTATGCTTGAGGAAGGACGACTGGAAGAGCACGAGCAGATAAAAGTTCCATGAACGACAGAAGTTCGCCACAATAATCGCGTAGACGGGCATGGAGCGCACCATCTCACGCCACGGTGTGGTRCTCAACGACGGCATYGASGGCTGCATMGAGGTCTCACCCAGCGATTTCTCGATATACTTCAATTCCGGTATGCTGATGGCAGGATGTTTGCGGGGATTCTCAAAGCAGAGCCACAACCAAAAGAGGTACCTAAAGAAATTATTGARTTATTGTATAAAATATCATAAATTGGGAGAATTCGGTGTATTGTATTGCTTACCATGTTATGCCGAACATGCCGTAAGCATAGAAGGGCGCCTGATAGCCAATCGCGTCGGCGAGCAGACCGGACAATGGCAGACCCACCACAACGCCCGCATATGAGCCGCTGAATGCTAATGTGGCCAGACGTGAACGCTCCATGGGTGGCGCCCAAAATCGCCAGATACCATGACAAGCCGGATAGGTGACGCCCTGTGTGGTGCAAGAGTGGACAAAGGAAATGCAAAAAAGGTTGCATAGAAATAGAAATTTTCAGATTTTATAAGCAAAAAGGTGTATTGTCAGCTCAGGACTCTTAAAAGTTAGTATAGCATATATTTAAAATTCTATTATTGTGGTTTTTGTTAACTTATTTTCACTACAGTATGCAGAAATAAATCGCAGGAAACAGGAAATGCCAGATTCTTATTGCCGAAGCTCTCTAGAAAAAAAAATAAAATAAAATGAAATAAAGGGCAGAAAATAATGATTTGCTCATCAAAAGATGGTGAAAGGATTTGGCAGTAGCAACCCTCAGCGCCTAAAAGCAGATTACATCATGTTTTCATTTCGCCAGCCAAAAAAACACTCATATTAATATTATGAAAGGAGAGCTTAAACGCAAGCGTGTGTGTACCCAACTGCACACACATACCGAGATATATATGTAATCTTAAATAAATATACAATTGCTATACATTTATATGATTGAATTTCATTTAGAATGCCTACAAATCATATGCSTGCCGAGCTGTGTGCAGGCAAATTCGCAATTTCAGTAAAATTCGGAAGAATTCAAGTGGCTTTGATCTGCTTAACGCAAATCGAATTTCATACAAAACGCCCGAATTTCATTTCCCGTTACTTTGTTTATGTTTATGTGACAAATATTGCTTTGTATATACATATGTATGTACTTTATATATCTTCCTCTCGATTTTGCTTTCATAAGTACAGCCCGAGCTGAAATGCTTTTATTTTGGTAACTTCCTCCCACTTACCTCAAATAGACCTTGCGTTACACGTACACCTATCAATACATAACCATGACACACGGCCATCACCACTGGCACCAACAGATGCAATGTTGCCGAGCATACAATTGATAAGCCGAAGATTTTATTAGCCGGAAATCTCGATGCTATGAAACCACCCGGTATTTGTGTGATCAAATAGCCCCAGAAGAATGATGAATCCACATGACTCTCCACAGCGACGCTCCAATTCATGAATTTTGTCTGAAAAGAAATGAAATTAATATTTATATATGTTGTATTATTTATTTTAGCACATACATGTGGATTTTATTTGGGAATTACATAAACATGTATGAAAATATCTATATACCTAATTCTAGRTGAAAAATAATCGAAGAAACACTATGAATCTTTGAGTCTTTTCGATTAAATTTTCGCTCCTTAATTACAACCCGAAAAATTTTTCGATAGCTTTTCGGAAAAAATACTGTATTGACTAGTACACACGATCAAAAGAGGTTGTTGAATTCTCACAACAGCTGTTTCTACTTTATCAGAATTTACCCGGATTTTCTCTGGCGCGGAGTTGTATTTTCGGAGATCTATCCCTCTTTAGATCGCTAAGTTTATGTATACAATTGTCACCACTGGAGCAACGTCTTGCAGCAGAGTTGTTCCATGTCCGCCTGACTCCTGCTGGCATTGAGTCCAATCCGGACCTGGAGGAACTTTTCTGCTACATCTGCGCCAAAAGGCTTTATCCAAACTAAATCTCATTTAGTTGTAATACGTGCAATGGATGGAGCTAATTTAAGAACTGCTCAGGCCCTAAGACACACTATGAGTGGACCATAAGTTACGCGGCCCCATGGTGCCAACGCAACCTTAGTCTCTACGGCTGAGCAATCTGCACTTAGTTCGCACACTACGCCGCCACTTCACCAGAAGACCTCTACGGTKCACAGGAGCTGAAATAGGTAGCATCACTCCCACTCTGACCAATCGAAAGTGAAGCAAGTGCAGCCTCGTACCAGATACTGTAGCAGGTTAAACTCCTACTTTTCCATAATAGACTCTGACATATCAAACATATGCCCAGCGTGTAATGAGTCCCTTCATGGCACTAGCCACCTCTTTGCATGACCTACTAACCCATGGAAACAGCACCCTTCCTGGGACTACCGTCGGATGACATCGATGACAACTTATCTAATACTTACCAATCTAATGGGGATTAGGTACCTATTATAACAACAACAACATCAAAAATAATCTTCGAAACTTTAAAATCCATCTCTGAAGTTAAGTTCTTTTAGTTAAAAATTTCAACCTTCTAATCAGAAAAATTACTATAGACTTAGGTTTCGGATATCAATAGAGAATTATATTTCAAAAAGCGGTTAATCAACTTGCGAAAATATGTGTCTTACTCAAATCATTAGTTTTCTGAACCCTCTGGAATATAGAAGAAATTTACGATTGCTAYCTTGTCCGTAAAAATTCGGCGCTATATCGTTACATGAAAAGGAAACAACAGTCACGGATGAGAAACCCCAAAACTAAAGGTGGATTAAGTCATCCATTGAGGTTTTACATCAAGACATTCTAGAACCAAAGAAAATCACATAGAATTTGTAAACCAGAAATTAGTTCAAGCTAGCACCGAAGCCMAAATTCTAAAATATAGACTGGAGGAATGAGGTTCTGGGCTAAACTGTTCATAAAGGACTAATGGTTTCCGAAGGAATATCCAAAATTTGTCAAATGTCTTTGTAGTCTCGATAAGCCAATAAGAGTTTTCCTCTGATTCACAAAACTTAGAGATTTCATTAGTAAAGCGATTGGATGGTTTTTAAAGTGTTTATAAACGTTGAATTTTTTAATAAGGAGTAATAGATTGGTTGGGAACAGACTAGAGGTAAAATTTCTAAACAGATATCTACTGACAACACATCTTTTGAAAGACTGTAACGACGTATAATTCCGAAAAGTAGGATAATCGAAGCGCATCAGATTTAAGTACAACTCTTCAATGGGAAGAAGAGACGTGGCCGCCGCTTCAAGAAGTTAACGTTATATAAAGCAAAGGAGAATCAAGGAACCTACATCTCTACGACTTTTCACTATTTATTTTTCAGCCTCTTCTCAAGCATGTCATACCACTGGCTCTCACCAGCAACACTGCATCGCCATAATATAAATGTATCCATTAGCAGCTGCAAGAATGGCACGCGCAACAACAATTGTTGCTGCTGCAGAAAAAAGCATATAAGTTTACAAATAGACTCGTAGCAATCAAGTGCGCCGCATTGAAATGGAAAATGCACACAAACATACACGCACTTCTGTGTTGTAATATAACCACAATGCATATTTTGCTATTTTGCAACAAATGATGCGGAATCTCGATASCTAAGTGCATGGTAACAAAAGCCACAAAGCCGAGATACCCATTTGAGTGGTGGCAGGGCTTTGGTATGGGGCTGGCAGCAATGGAAAATAAGCGCAGAAAACATACTGTTGTCGACGTAAAAGTTGACGCCAGCAGTCGAAAGCCCAAATACTTGCTCGCCAAAGCGCCCTGAAGGCATTATTAACGAGCGTGACGGAATTGCGCCCATAACCATTGAAAAGGGAAATCTCTAAAACATTTACAAAACATACCAAGTATGTTATGAAAAAAATAATATTTAAATGCGCGGAGAGGAGAGAGTAGAGTAAAGTAAGTAGAGTAAAGTACAAATAAAAATATGAGTTGTGAATTATGAGCTTACGCTCGTGAAAAGGGCGAGGCGAGGCAGTTGCTAGCGTAAGAAAATTTAAGTTGGCAGTGGCAAGCGGTGAATGATACAAATATACATATGTATAGGTTTATAACTAGTTACATGTGTGTTGCTTTGAAAGCCAGGACATCGAAATTTGAAACGTGACTTTGGCCTTCGGCATTTTTGGCAAATGTCAAAAATTAATTGACAGATATTTCACTCGTCTRTCATATATATTTGTGCTCTCGCAAATTAGTTAAATTTCAACTGCCTTACAGTGAATATTCATATGATTAATTGTATTAAATATATGGCGTCATATATATGCTACAATATATACAATATTACACATATTAGGGTGCGCCATAAAAAATCCGAATATCGAATTTATGGTTTAAAATTAACCTATATACAGAGAAAATAATATTCCTGCAGGGCAACATTTTTAGCTTCAATTTAAAAAGTATCGATGAGCATTCAAGGCTTCCCATATAAATAAGACGTAATCTGTTTTCGTTAAAAGTATGATTACTTTTGAACCATTTGTGATAAAATATTTAAATCTCGGATTTTACTATGGAAAAAAAAATTTCTAAAAAAATTAACTACCTGAGAGGTATATACTATATATTTCAAACCTTTGAATGGTGTCTCACCCTAGTGCGTAAGTACAAATTTTTACTCATGTATTTTAACTGTAAATTTCCTTCCAATTATACGCATGAAAATTTCAAAAATAATGGGAAACCTTCTTTCAGTAACCATGATAGAACATCCGATTAACTTAGAATTTTTAAGGGCTCGAGCTAAGTTCATTTATGAAATTTCAATCACTGTGTCTACTATTTTCAGGTCGGCCACCTCCCCACAGTCCATGAGACTTCACTTCCTTTACCCACAGCACTGACGGCACATTAAAGAATTTTGACTCCATTCACCCAAACCGCCCCATCAAAAGTTGGCATGGACGTGGCCCTCTTCCTTTTCAAATTCGCGAAGAGCACATCTAGCAACTTCAGTGCCGCTGCTTGTGATAGGTTTCAAGGTCTATAAGCGACACTGTTAAGTACTTCTAAGTTATATCGCAGGTCTTTACTGACATCTTGGACGTTTCGAGTTTTTCTTTGTTCAACCTGACATTTAGCTTTGCAGCTTCGTCATTTCGCTTCGGCCAATTAGCCGGCCCCACTGTTTCGCTATCAACGAAAAGCTGCCTTATGGCCGGCATTCCCTCCTCGATAAGTCTTGAACGGCCTTTGACCGCCGTTTTGTAATTAGCTTTCGCTTTCAGTCCTTCCTTACTATCCCTAGTCCTTTCTACCGAAACAGCATCCTTGAAATATCCCGTAGCGTATCAATGTTTTCTTTTCGTTCTTGTTAGCATTTTCGAGGTCAGAGTCTTTAATAACCGTGGCACTTCTGTGGTGTAAAACAGCTTTGACAGCAACACTCCAAGTGGATTTACCGTGTCCGCCGCTGGTAGCAGAAACTTATTCCACCTACGCTGGGTTGGGCTGCACCCTTGTTTTTCATTGTTTTCCTCCAAAATAAGATTTATTTTCAGGCAATCTCTAACCCTAGCGTTTTATACCTATTCCCAGGTACTTAAATACCAATGACAAAAGTAGTTAAAAACCTCTCTCCCAAAATATCGTGAAGCTACCAGAAAGCGAAGGATAAACGTCGCCTGCCCGCATCGCCCCTTACGCTCTAGGAACAAGCCCCGTTGTCAAGCCGAGACGGTGATTGCAGCGACGTCAGTTGCCAAGTCAGCAACCGCGTGGAGGACATAGTTAAGATAACTTCGTCCCACTGTTTACTAAGTAATGCTTTGATGTACTCGACAGCAGTGCAAAATATTCGAAAAAACCTCTTTACAAGAAAATGGATATTTCTTGATATATTTTATTAAAAATATTTCATTCACAATAGCATATTTTTTATTTTATGTAATTTCTAACACAAAAAATATTATTATACAAAAGTATCTTAGTTAATTAAATTGTTTGATATTTTTTCTCGTCAGTTCTTCAAAACACTCACATGATTTTGTTCTCCTTTCAGCTTTGCCGCCGACATATTGCAACGCATGCCAAATGATATCATAAAACCCACACAAGCCATCACGGCAATCGTGTAACGCGCCGGCAAGCAGGGACACTCGGCTTTGCAGTACTTGTCGATTTTACGTAATGGCGGGCGTTCGATCTCCTCGAAAGAGGCTGGCGAATCGGGTCTATCATCGTCATATGGTATGCCGCCTCCAGGTCCGTCACCAATCTTATCGCCGTCCTCCATTTCCTCGTAACCGCCATAGCCGCCATGATAGTTTTTGGAGATCTCAAATTTTTCAACATTCGGTTTGATGCTGCAAGAAAGGAGAAGAAAGAGATATAAGTAAGGGGTGAGTGAGATTTAGTTATTTAGTTATATATTCCCTTATTTATATATTTTTATTATAATAAAGTGGTCTCTGCAACACCTAAGAATGGTTCAGCTCTTCAAACAATTTTTATTAAAGATAAAAATCAGTGGCAAGCAATAATATTTATTGCACAAAGACTTTCCTGTTTTTTTTTTTTTTTTTTTTGTTTTTTGCCATTTATAAGACACCTTGATTATGACATTCGCATGACAACAAATGCTGACCATTCCCTGGGGTCATATAAATTACATCTTAATGGCCAAGTGATCATAGCAGGCACCGTGAAGCCACAAAAATACCTGTTGATTGGAAGCTTTCAACATAATTGAGCAATAAAATCTGAGAAATGCAAAGGCGTGCATAGAAAAGGCATGACAAACACACACAGACAAACAAACTAACACACACGCAGACTTTTTCCCACATTTATACCACACGTAGGCACACCGCATGGCGGCACTAGGATTTACTGTTGAAATGTGTGATACCGGCAATCAGCGGTAAATACGAGTGCCCCACCACCACAACAAGCAACAGCAAAAACTTGACACAACGTCGTTTCAACGCGAAGGCAACCAAACCGAACTCCCAAAGGAGCTGACAGCAGCCAACAACCGGCAAATAAGTGCGAGAGTGGGAATTTGTTGCAATGATACAAACTCTAGTTTGCTGGGGTCGCTTACTGCAAGGGTGGTGTTGTTGTTTTTCTGCTCTTAACTCCCGCGTTTGTATGTATTTTGCGCTGATAGCTGAGTCATACGTGTCCAATTGAAATAAAATTCAATTTTATTAAGTGCGTATCAATAGTTACAAGATACCAATTGTTGTTGCAGTTGTTGTTTTTGGTTTCATGGTTTTGTTGTTGACAATAAAGTAAACATTTTTTCTGAGCTCGCGTTGTATTGTGGGGTTAAGGTGGAATGCACTTAAGTTCGACCTTTTCCGAAAATATTCGTACACATCTGGAAGAAGGACATCAAAATCTTCCTTAGAAACTATCTATATAATGCATAAGGGCCCACATTAGGATAAAGGATGCCAAAAAGCTTCCTTAGAAACTATCTATAGACCTACATAAGTCTAGTATATAGTTCTTGAAGATAACTGTCGATCGATCTCATTAAATATATGTCTCCAATAAACCCGCGCTGTTGCAAACTTGTCTATAACCGCGTATGCGGCGTCTATTTCTAGAAAGAAAGGTGAATAATGAAACAAAAATAATAATATATTTATGTTCGGCAGCAATTGAAAACAAAAAAAGTAACGTAAAGTCATGAAAAGGAAGTGTGCGATACAAAGATAGCCGATAGAAAGTTGTTTTTACTGATTTTTTTTTTTTTCACTTTCAATCGATTTGTATATTTTGAAGGTATGGTGTTTCGAAAAACTGGTAAAAAATGGCAAAAATGTATCAGAGAGTGCTTGTCAATGCTTAGCTAAGTCAACAACCAAGTACTGCAAGCTTTTCGACCAACAAAGAGTGATACTTTTATACTGGTTCAATCTTAGTGTACTTTGCAAATGAAGAAACTTAAATGGGCTGTAATTGGTGCTCTGCTGCCATTTTTTCAAAAATCAAAGCATTTTTGGTTATATAGGTATTTTACTGATTCGGCCTACAAACTGTTTCGGCCGCATTTTTCTCGAAATATGTCGAAGAAGCTCTCTTTTTCCAAATGAGCACACGATTTCTCAGCTTCTACTGAGCAGATTAACAACTGGTACATAGTTTTCCTTATAGACTTGTCTACGTCTATCCATATCCACTAGTTTTAAGTCTTCAAACTCTTTTTATTCTAAGGGTTGGTCTCAGTGTACTGTAATAAAAATTCTCTCAAGTTTTGAAATTGAAATTCAAATTATTAGAGTCACTACAGCGCCCAAAATGTGAAATAATCAGCTTACGAAAGTGTTCTCTCATTATATCAATTGATTGATGCGATGTGTGGGAAGTAGCGCGGCTTGTTAAAGAAAATATTTGAAGAAAACAAGACCAACGATTCCACTGGATTACAAACCACACTAAACCTTTGTTTTTCTTGCTCTGGAATATCTTCAGGTTACTCCTTACCAAGGCTCTGGCAATTTTGCTTGCTTATATACCCATTGAGTGAAAAGTAGCCTCATCACTGAACAAAATTTGGCTCGAAAACGTCGGATCTTCTTGGAAAAACACATAGAGTGAAGCGATGTCGCTCTGGAGGGTCAGACGACTTCAGTTCTTACACAACCTATATTTTTTACGCTTTCAATATAAGATATTGGCGTAAAATGCGCCAAAGCGTTCCATACGTCACTACGAGTAGCTGCGAACGGCGCCGAATCGACTGTCCACTGCTTCTATATACGAATTAATTCCAGTCCAACTTTCGGCAGTGCAATTTGGTTAGTCATGATAAGACGTAGAATATTTAAAGCTTCGTTCAAAAGCCTCGTTTAGTTCTTTCACTTACTTTTCATTAGTAAAGTAAACATATCGTAGCTTTTTTTCCTTGCCTATATATACTAGTGTTTATGCCCTGCTCGCGCAATTCAAAGCCAACGCTGGTAAAATCAATTAACAACACAAAAGATCGTTGTTATAACAACAACACAAATAATCTTGCTTTCGCCGCCATTTGAAGTGCTTCAATTGGCTTTTGTACTTTTCCAACAACTTACTGCCAATTATTTGGGCATTTATGAGTAAACGGCATAAACTGCGGCCACAGCGGAATAACCAAGCTGGGTTGCTGGGGTTGAGATTTTTCACATCAAAAAATGTGTAAAAAAACAACAAAATGCATACCTTGCTCAGATTCTTAAGCTGTTTGACAAATCAACTGGCCTAACTAATTGCCTGGCAGAATTTGGTTAGTTACAGAAAACAAAAAAAAAAATTTTATTTTATTTTGGTTAGTTACACCAAACAAAAAAAAAATTTCTTTTTTTTTCAAATATTTTTTTTTTTTCGAGGTAAATTTTCGGTCCAGCACAGCTGAACGCCACATCAGTGGATTATGAAGAGTAATATTGGCACACATTTCATTGTCAAGCAGAAGTTAGAAGTACACAAACACACAAATACACAGATACATACATAAAAGACCAGCAAAATCGTGCTTTAGCCACTAATCAACCCACTTACAAGCCACTGGTCGCCTCTTTGCTCTCTGCTGCTTAAATGCCACAACTTCTGCTTTCTTCTTTCCTTCTTTATCCGTTTGTCCCCTTGCAAATATATGCCAGTTGTCTCATAATTCAAATATTTGCCATTTTTTCTGGCACACGCTCTCACACTCACACAGTCAATTGGTGACTCGCTCGCCAGTTTGCTTGGTAATGCCCTTGTTTTCGTATTTCTAAGTAGTTCGCTTGCCAAGTCCTGACAGCAATACATTTCTTTGCCGGAGCACACACACACTCGTAGAAGCACAAACTAGTTATAAATATATGTATATTTCTTTTCTTATCCGCTTCTTCTCAATCACTATGAATATTATGTCTATTTTTATGTCTCTGTGTATGTGTGTGATGATTTAGTTGCCCTTTAATGTCAGCCAGTTAGTCTGACGCCAATTTTATTTTGTTTCTCCGCTAAAATATCTCTGCTTGATKGTCGTGTTATGCTCACATATTCTTCTCGGTTTATTATGGCAYGCATATCCTTGTCGTTACAGTAAAAATTTTGCAGACTTTTAGRCGTCCAATAGATTAAAAGTAGTGGCGCCACAGCATTTTGGCGTTTTTAGAGCTTGCAGCGAGGGTTTGTCTGTGGCGGCAGTGACGTGACTGGATTTGTAGCGCTGGCTGATGCTGCATCAAGTAAAATGGGTTTGGGGTGTTGTGGAGTTTCTATGAAGTTTTTTTTTTTTTTGCCTGAATATCTATATGCATTCCATATACTCATGTATGTATTACAATTTGGTTATACCGAGGTTGTTTATGGTGAATGATGCAGCAGCGAATATTTCACTATTTGAGTTTTGTATCAATAACTGAAATTGTAGTAAAATATTTAGTCCTTGACTAAGCAATTTGCTTTGAAGACGACAGCTGATTTTCACTACATTTTTTCGCAGCCAACTTCCTTWGCGTTATGTATCTGTATAGCTGATATAGGCTTTTGTGTAAAAAAGTAAAAAAAAAAATTTTAATGAAAACATGGATTAATAATTCGGGGAATTGCTGAAAGAATAAATTTGTCTAACGTGACCGTTCACGGACACATGAAATATCTTGTATTACTTTCGAACCTCTTCATATGGATTCCTCATTTTTTTACAGAACGGAGTTTGCAATTTACGTTTCATGTCTTCTATTGATTCAAAACGGTTTCCCCGGAGCGGTCGCTTGAGTTTGCTGAATAGCCAGAWGTCACACGGACCTGAATCAGGCSAATTTGGTGGTTGCGACACGATATTGGTTAAAAAGTTGGCGAAAAACTCATGTTATCGCTAGGCAAAATCCAAATGTTGTCAGCCCATAATTCTGGCCGTAAACCGCGCTTAWTACTCAAATAGTAATGCTTGTTGACAGTTTGGCCGGTTGGAAGKAAACTGTCAACACAACCCTATTTTTGATCTGCTTTGACGTGTTCTTTYGCCTTAAGCTCACCTTTRCCACGATATTCCGCCRATTGTTTTCCGGGTCGTAATCATAGATCTAAGACTCATTGCCAGTAATAATACGTTTCMTGACATCCTGGTAGACGAAAGCATTGTTTCACATATGTTWACGCGACGATSTTTTTTGAAAAAATTAGTGATTTTGGAATTAATCGTGCTATCAGTTTTCTTAGGCCCAAATGAGCYTTCAAATTATTCGATATTCCACTGATGCCACTAAGATCTCTGACTGTTAATAATCTTCCATTCTCAAACACCAATTTCTTTATTTTATTGGCATGTTGACCATCACTTGATGTTGATGGCCTTAATGGACGTGGTTCATCATCAACG